TCTGATTACTGATTTCCGATTTCTTCAACATTTTTTTTGACTTTTAGATTAGACAAAATTTGCGTATCTATTATTTTTAAAAATTTTATTATTTTTTATAGAAATAGAAGTTGTATATTCATTATCTTGTAATATTTTCGCACAAATAGGAGTTGCGTATTAAAATATCCAATCAAATTTTTACAAATAATAAATGCGCAAATTTTGTCTAGTCTAAAAGTTAAAAAAAATTATTGAAGAAATCGGAAATCAGAAATTAGCGATTACTTTTTTTATTGATCTTCAAATTTTACATAATTTTGCAAACCGCAATAACTGAAACACTTGATTAAAAATTAGACCCTAATTCAATATGATTAAATTGAAGATAGGGTGTTCCAAAAGTTTTGATATACGCTTCTTTTTTAAAGTGAATTTATATAGAGATCATGATGATAACCAGTGATCTTTGTATATAAGGTTATTTTAAAAAAAGAATTATGTATAGAAACTTTTAGAACGCTCTGTACATTTACAGTAACGATGTGATTATAAAACAGTTCCCAATTTATCTAGGATCCTAATTTAGACCTAATTTCAAAAAATTTACTGATATATCATATTGGTAACTATGTAGATTATAAATGGGTGCCGCCAAGCAGGGACACAGTATATTTTATTATAATTATTATTAGTTAGCTCTAAGATAACATGTTTAAAAAAGTTTCTAAATATTAAATTATCATAAGCAGTTTTGTAGATCATTACAAAAGCTACACAATGATGTTTTATTTTTAGTTAATATGTAAGTTATTGAGTAATACAACACCAAATATTGTTAAAAATAGTTTGGCTTGGCATTAAGCTTGGCATTGCTTGACAGATTTTATTGATATTGTAAACAATTCTACTTAGAATTTCTATATTGCCAAGACTTTATATATGTTTTGAATAATCCAAAATATTACTACAACATATGATAGTCTTAAAATCAATTAAATATCGGATTAAAAGCTATAAAAAAGATAGATTTTGTTTTTTTAAAATAGCAATTCTCTTCTTGTCTTTAATTTTTTTTAATAAAATAATATTTTATCTATTTCTATCTTAATATTATTAATAAAAACTATTATTTATTTTACTTTTTTATATTTTATCCTTTATTTAAATAAATTTTTTCTCTTTCTTAAAATAATATAAAGTGAAAGCTGATTTTGGAAATAGTATTTTAGCAAAATACTAGCTTTATATTATTAGAATTTAAAAGCCATATATAGCTGTGGACGGTCTGATTATTAAGGCTTTCTTTTCTCTAGATTTATCTAAGTTTTAAAGTCTAATAATCCTTGTAAAGGACAAGCATTTGCTATTCCTAACCTGTACAAACTGGCTAATAGGTTTAATTCCTAAGCATAATCGCCTATTGATAACTCCTTATAGTACCTTGGAGGCTATTGAATTTAAATTCTATTATAAAATTTATTTATTTTCTATTTTTTATTATTCTTTTTAAATAAAAATAGTTCACTTAATACTCATAAACTTTAAAATTTGCTACAACTTGGTAGTTTTTTAGTAAATTTTATTATATTATATTTTAATATGTCATATACTTTATTTAATAGTATTTTTACTGAAACTTATCCTGAGTTAACTTCTTTAAATACTAATATTTTATCATTACAAAATATTTATCAATCTACTTATATTGAAGAATTCAGAAAGAACATCTAGAAAAACCTCTAAAAATATCTAAAAATCTCTAAAAAATGCTAGAAGTACCAATAATCCAGAAAGAACCTTCAAAAGTCGTCAGAAGAACCTCCAGAAGCCACCAAAAAACGCCGAAATACCAAGAATCCAGAAAGAACCTCCAAAAAATTGTTTGAAGAACCTTCAAAAGCTATCAAAAAATGCCAGAAGCACCAAGAATCTAGAAAGAACTTTCAAAAATCATCAGAAGAACCTCCAAAAGCCACCAAAAAAATGCCGAAAATACTAAGAATCCAGAAAGAAGTTGTCAGAAGAACCTCCAAAAGCTGCCAAAAAGAACGCCAGAAATACCAAGAATTCAGAAAGGACATCTAGAAAGAACCTCTAAGAACATCCAAAATTCTAAAAAATGCCAGAAGTACTGAGAATCTAGAAAGAAACACCAAAAAGTCATCAGAAGAACCTCCAAAAGCTGCCAAAAAACGCCGAAAGTACAAAGAATCCAGAAAAAACCTCCAAACGTCATCAGAAGAACCTCTAAAAGCCACCAAAAATGCCGGAAATACCAAAAATCCAGAAAGAACCTCTAAAAAATCGTCAGAAGAACCTTCAAAAGCCACAAAAAACGCTGGAAATATCAAAAATCCAGAAAAAACTTCTAAAAGTCATCAGAAGAACTCCAAAAGCCACCAAAACATGCCAGAAGTACCAAGAATCCAGAAAAAACCACCAAAAAATCGACAGAAGAACCTCTAAAATTTACTAAAAAACGCCGGAAGTATCAAGATTCCGAGAAAGAAGAATATCCAAAATTCGTCAAAAAAAATGCCGGAAGTACCAAGAATCCAAAAAGAAACACCAAAAGGTTATCAGAAGAACCTTCAAAAGCCACCAAAAAAATGCTGAAAATACCAAGAATCCAGAAAGAATCTCCAAAAAGTCGTCAGAAGAACCTCCAAAATTCGCTAAAAAATGCCAGAGGTACCAAGAATCCAGAGAGAACTTCTAAAAATAACCAAAATCCATTAAAAACCGCCAGAAGTACTGAGAATTCAGAAAGAAACACCAAAAAATTGTCAGAAGAACCTCAAAAAGCTACCAAAAAACGCCAGAAGTGCCAAAGAACCTATCAGAAGAAACTCCAAAAGTCGCCAAAAAAACACTAAAAGTACCAAGAATCCAGAAAGAAACACTACCTCCAAAAGGCGTCAAAAATCGTCGTAAGTACCAAGAATTCAGAAAAAATCACTAAAAAATCGACAGAAGAACCTCTAAAATTCACCAAAAAATGCCAGAAGTATCAAGAATCCAGAAAGAATCTCGAGAAAGAACCCTAAGGATATCTAAAATTCGCTAAAAAAACGCCAGAAGTACCAAGAATCCAGAAAGAACCACCAAAAAGTTATCAGAAGAACCTTCAAAAGCCACCAAAAAACACCAGAAGCACCAAGAATCCAGAAAGAAACACCAAAAAGTCATCAGTAGAACCTCCAAATAACACTGGAAATATAAAGAATCCACCAAAAAGTCATCAGAAGAACCTCCAAAAACCGCCGGAAGCACCAAGTATCCAGAATAAGTTGTCAGAAGAACCTCTAAAATTTGCCAAAAAAATGCCGAGAATTCAGAAAAAAACACCAAAAGTCATCAGATGAACCTCCAAAAAAAACGCCAAAAAGTGCTGAAAGTACCAAGAATCCAGAAAGATCCCATTAGAAGAACCTCTAAATTTCGCCAAAAAACGCCAGAAGTACCAAGAATCCAGAAAAAAAAACACCAAAAAGTCGTCAGAAGAAGCTCCAAAAGTCACCAAAAAATGCCGGAAGTACTATGAATCCAGAAAGAAACACCAAAAGGTCATCAGAGGAACCTCCAAAAGCCGCCAAAAAACGCTGGAAGTACCAAGAATCCAGAAAGAACTTCCAAAAGTCATCATAAGAACTTCCAAAAAAACACCAAATAATGCTGGAAGTACCAAGAATCAGAAAGAACTCGTTAGAAGAACCTCCAAAAGCCACCAAAGAATGTCAGAAGTACCAAAAAATCTTCAAAAAATCATCAGAAGAACACACCAAAAAGAACTAGAGGTCGCCAGAAGAACTTAAGAATCCAGAAAAACCACCGCGGAATGACGAAAAAAACCTCACTAATTAAATGAATAAACCACATTAAAGAAGAACCACTATTAAAACAAAAAACATCATCATAAAAGCGATAACCTAAAAAAAAGACAAAGAAAACACGTTAACCAACAAAGAAGCTATATACTATTAAAAGCGAAAGGTGTCATCATAAAGCGACGACCTACGTACGTGTAGAAATTCAAATTACAGTCATAATCTTGTTTGGAACAAGTTAATAACCGGATTGTGCTATTTTTAGACTAGTTTATTTTGTGTAACAAAATTATGTTTATCCAATTATTTCAAAATTAATGATCTACCAAATTCGGCGGTTTCTACTTTTGACCGCCCATATAGTGACGATCATTAATCAATTTTTTTATAATCAGTGGCAGCGTAAATAGTAGGGTAATTATTTTTGAACCCGGACCAATTTTATATATGACGTAATAACATTTTGGTCTGAATTCAAAAATAAATACCCAGTAAAAACATATAAGATTTAAATTGCAATAACTCTTGAACAGGCAAACCCACACAAATAAAATTATATTTGTCGAGTTCATTTTAATGTGTTCTTTAATGTAATAACTCCTTTTTTTAATTTATTTTTTATTTTTTGGAGTATAACGGGACCTCAATTTTTAAGCAAAATGGTCATTTTTGATGGTTTTTTTATAAAAAATATCAAAAACGTAACTTTGAATTTTTTAGTCGATCACCAACAATACAATTGACAAAAATTTTTAAAGTTACGTTTTTGATATTTTTAATAAAAAAAAAAATCAAAAATGACCATTTTGCATAAAAATTGAGGTCCCGTTATACTCCAAAAAATAAAAATAAATTTAAAAAAAAGGCGTTATTACATTAAAGAACACATTAAAATGAACCCGATAAATATAATTTTATTTGTGTGGGTTTGCCTGTTCAAGAGTTATTGCAATTTAAATCTTATATGTTTTTACTATTTACGCTACCACTAATTTACCACTGATTATAAATAATTGTCACTATATAATCTGCACTATGTTTGTAATTAGACTTGCATTAGACCCCCCGACGTACTACATATTCAATTTTGCCCGATCCTTTTTTGTCAAATGTGGTCATGCTGTGTAATAAGTTTGCCGCGTGTGTTCATGTAGTGTAAGTAGCCGTTAATGTATACGCCTGGCGTTCTGCTGCTTACGGTGATTTGTGCTCTACACGTGCATATGACCGTCTCAATAATATCTAAAAAAGGGAATTTGTTTTTACCGTTTTTAGAGTGTCGCTAAAAAGAAAACCCGAAAATTTAAATATAAGTCAAATTTAAATTGTCGTACTAGTATTGTATACTTATATACTTGTACTAGTACTATATACTTATACGATAAAAAAAAAAAATTCACGAATTATTAAAATGGGGTCAGTACTTATTAAAACATGTCTTTTTGCGTTTTTATGAATACTCCATTCTATATTTATTTATAATCTTAAGTTTATTTTTTTTCACTTTTGTTTCTGGCTTGATGAAATGATAATCAACGATCGTCAAAGACCATAGAAAAAAATCGTGGCGATGATCATTTCTAAATTTAAATTTGATACGCCTGCAATCCGGTTAAGGCACACAGATTGCTGACAAACCCAATATGGGTCATTTGCTAGGAAAATCATCGTTTGAAAGCAAGTGCCAAGCAGTGATTTTCCTAGCAAATTACCCATATGGGTATCCATTAAGCGTAACAGGAGGGAACGTACCTAAAAATAGAAACACGTTACACAATTGATTTACATCGTAATTTATACATTATAAAGTAC